ATCTGAATACTTCTTTTTAACACCATTGACAATTCATTCACTTGGGTTGAAATGTTCTCCATTTGTTTTGGCACAGTTAAGATAAATAAGATCAGGTTGCAACATTATGCTACTTTCGTCCATGACCTCAGAAAATCGACCAAAAATATTCCCATAAATTAAGAGAGTATGCGCACTGCAATCCTGTTTTAAAGTGTTTGATGTTTTCTACAATATGCAAACTCTCCTCACCAATCCTCTCTCAAGTCTTCTGTACTAATTTTTCAAGACCTACACATCTTTCACGATTGATTTTGTATATACAACTTTTTCAAAAACTTGAATGTTCTTGGATATGTTGTTGATCATGTTATATAGGTCCAGATATTGTCCTTGAAACAGATGCTTCAGTATGACCAATCTGTTGAAATTGTTTCACATTAATGAATTTACACAGGGTTTGTTTTCTAAAAAGTAGAAAAGGAAGAAAGATAGGGTGTCTGTTATTTGTTGATTAGTGTTAGGCTATATCATTCTCTAATTGCTCCTCACTACATATTTTTTAACATGCATCAACTGTTATTTATCTCATCTCGCCCTCGTGAAATATTTTATGATAACCCTCAATATGCACTCGGTTTCTTGTTGGCTTACGAAATACACGCTGTCTCATCCACATTAATGCCAGCATTTACACTAGGGTTTTCATTAATACTAGTTGTTGCATCCAAGGGAACAGTGTTGGATGGACTCGCACTTCATGAACGTCCTGTTTCACTCTGTGTGGAATGTTCGCCATGATTCTGTTAGTTTCTGCAATATTAGACATTTCAGACATTAGACATTAGCATCATTACTGGCTAAGCAACATAACGTGTATGTTGATGCTGAGCTCGAGATGCACCTTGATTATTTTCTTAGACCCAAGGTCAAAGAGAATAATCTAAACTTGCTGGTAGATCTTGAAAGTTGCTGCAATTCGCTCGTCTGTGTTGTAAGGTGAGGAAAGATTGTCATAACTGCATTTGGAATTATTGATTCTGTAGCATACACTGCATAGAACGGTGTAACCCCTGTCAGCTGTTTGTAGATATTAATTAATGCTAACTGGGGAGTAAAAAAATGCATGTCCAAGTCTGCTGCCTGCAATCCATCTACTATATTGCTGTACTGAATTGAAATTATCTACTTGTAGTGGTTCTCCGCTAGTAAATTGCTGGCTGGATGGTTCATGGGTACAGTCATGTGTTGGAATCTGCCAAGTGCTGCCAACTCTTCGAGGAAACATACTACAAAAGGTTCAACCTGGAAGCAGGTCTTTGAGTTTGCAGTATTGCTTGTGTCAGCTGGTCAGCCAGTACATTCTTCTCCCCTTTTACATACTTAACTTCAGCATTAGCCTCTTTAAGTGATAATAACGTGCTATCCTACCATTTTTTCCCTGCTCCTTCTCAAAAAGCCATTGCAGAGCCTTGTCAGTCCACATGACACAACGCTTGTATATTAAAGATCAATATCTATTTATTGAAAAACACTGTGTCAATATCTAAGGTCATTGGTAGCGCATACAAAATATAGCAATAGGGCAAGGCTTAGGGCGAAGACCCTAGGTCAGGAAAGCTCATACAGCTTTATCGCAAAGTATTGTGGAAAAAGGTCAAAATTCTAGCGCTGTAGGTTAGTATGGTAATGAAAAAGATAAAGATGGAATGACAGAGTACGAAGGCCGTTCAGGACAGGCACAAATGCAGCCTTTCAATCTTTCAGCACGGATGGGGACAGAAGGGGATGAAGAAATGGAAAAAGAAAGGTGAAGAAAAGACCATGCAAGGTCTGAGGTCCAAGGT